ATGTGATTAGGAGGGGCGAGGCTCGTGTGTGGGACTCTTGCAGGTCAGACTTTTCCCAGTGGGGCAACCGATTGCTGCTGCTGCCAGAGATAGAAACACGTGAGAGGGAGATGGGGTTAGTGGGGGGGTGGGGGTGCACGCCAGTTGGGGGTAAAGCATGTGAGAAGGGGGAGATGAAATGCAGGGGTGGGAGAGTTGATATGCTTGATCTGGGAAGGAAGGTGGGACATGTGACTCCTGAGGTGCTGTTTCTCCCCAGGTATCTCCCTTTTTTTCTCCTATCATTTGTATCGCACACCCGACTCGTCATCATAGCATGCCTTTCTTTAAACATCCTGTGCTCGTCCTTCAAACCAGGGCTTCCTTCCTTGTCCCTTGTTCCCTCTCTGTTCCCCTGTCATATCAGTCCCAATGCGTCACCCAGTCCCCCTTCCCTTGTCCCTTGGGTCGATGCGTCTCACTGCATTCATTCCTTGTCGTCCCATCACGCACTGTACAGGTGGCCAGGCTGGTGCCTGTACAGAGGTCGGCCTTCCCCCTCCACGTGTCATGTGCCTCATAACAGTCGACTTACCCTCCCACAGTATACAGGTGACCAAGCTGGTGCTGGCTGCAAACCTGTGGGACGAGACGGAGACAATTCTACCCAGGGTGATTCGTGTTGTTGCCGCTCCTCTCTTTCGCCCCTCCATCCACAGGTCACCAAGCTGGTGCTGGCTGCGAACCTGTGGGAGGAGACGGAGGTCGGCATCCCCCCTCTCACCTTCTTTCACCCGCGATGGGAGAAGGACTACAAGGTAGGAAGCAAGGGCTAGCGTTTGTGGGGACGAAAGGGGTTCCTTTCGTTGTCGGGTGGCCACCGGACGTTGTCATCCCCCCCCCATCCCCTCTCACCTTCTTCTTTCCTAGCTGGGAGAAGGACGACAATGTAGATCGAGACTGCACAGCCTGTGAAGAAGCTGGGTAAGAGGCAGAGAGCTGGGGAAACAGGGGGCTACTGATGCAGCTGAAAGAGGTAGTAATGAGAGCAAGTCGGGAAGCTCAGAAGGTGCAAGGCGAGGGTGAGAAACATAGTAGCGAGGGTGGAGCAATCGGCAGGTTGTTTGTTCCCCTTTTTTTGGTTGCCATCTAAGAGCTCTTAAAACCCGCTCCTGCTTTTTCATCCACCACCATCTGTTGGCAGACGTGGCAGCGCATAGCCGAGTCGCACAGGCGCACATCGCTGGTGGCGTTTGCGTCGCTGCGAGACGCGTTCAGCAAGCACAACAAGGCGCTGGCCAAGCAGTGCAAGCCCGCCAAGGCGTGCCGGTGAGTGTGCATGTTGATGCATGGACATGGCGTCAGAGCAAGGTATCTTACGCCCTGCATGTGTGTGCACAGGCACAACAAGGCGCTGGCCAAGCAGTGCAAGCCCTTCAAGGCGTGCCGGGGAGTGTATGGTGATGTTACGGCATGGTTACAATAATGGACTCCAGGAAACCAACCAGCCAACCACCAACGAACCAACCAACCAGGTACGTCAAGCGCGTAGTTTTCCTCACTTAGCGTCTCCGTGCTCTCCCTTCCGTACCCACCACGAGGTACCCTTTCCCCGTCTCCTCTCTGTATCAATCACCACATGTACCTCCAGTGACTGCAGGACCTCTTCCTCTGCTCTGCTCTGCACTGGCCCAGAGGTCCAATCCAATCACTGGTCATGAGTGACGACGACCCCTGGGACTTCGATCGCATATCCAGTGCATGGAGGACCTCTGCTTCTGCTCTGTTCTGGTCCAGAGGTCCTCATGGATCCAGTCACCCCATGCTGCCTTCTGCTCTTCCCCTCTCCTTGCAAATATGCTTTTCTCTCCTCCTCCTCCCCTTATCAACCACCAGATACCTTGAGTGCGTGGAGGACCTCTGCACTCGCCCCGAGGTCCTCATGGATAAACACACCAATGCCGCCTTGCGCCTTGTGACCTCTCTTTACCGTGTTCTCTCCTTGCCGTCCACAGGTACCTGGAGTGTGTGGAGGACCTGTGCACTCGACCGGAGGTGCTCATGGACCTCTTCACCGATGCCGCCTTCTGCCTCGTGCCATCGGGCCACACGGGGGCGCGCCGAGCCGCCTTTGACGCCATAGTGGCGGGCTGCATCCCTGTCTTCCTCGACAATTTCGTGCAAACTGAGGTGAGCAGCGTTGACACCTTGGAGCAAACTGAGGTACGTTAGAGTCCAAGCCTGTGGGCACTCAAGCCAGAGTCATGCCATCGGGCCACATGGGTGCACACAGAGCCGCCTTTGACGCCATAGTGGCCAGCTGCATCCCCGTGTTCCTCGACAGCTTTGTTAAAGCCGAGGTGTGCGTCTGTGTGTGCCAGGGTTCTGCATACTGTGGTGTGGTTCGTTGTGCGCTCTGTGTTCGTACATGCTCATACACTACGCTATGCTACGTCCACAACATGAGCTTGGTTTTTGAGAATTCTCACAAATTGGTTCCACTCATACTCTACGCTATGCTACCTTTGTGGCATGAGCATGGCACCAGTCAAGCCGCCTCTGAAGCGATAATGGCGGGGTGCATCCCTGTGTTCCTCGACTGCTTCGTGCAATCCAAGGTGTGGTCGATGACAACTTCATTCTAACCAAGCCCAACCCTTTCAAACCATGCCCAACCCTTTCAAACCATGCCCAACCCTTTCAAGCCATGCCCAAGTCTGTCAGTACAAATGGCCCGTGCCCAGCAAAAGCAGCAGCTCCTCCGTGTCATTTGATGATACGGCAGTGCTGGCTACTCTGTAACCTTTGCTTCCCCTCCTTCCCCTCAACCTCCCTCCCTGTCCATGCAGAACTAGTGGCACCTGCCCGGCAACAGCAGCAGCTCCTCCGTGCCATTTGATGAGAAAGAAGGAAGTGCTGCCTTCCCAGCCTCCCTGCCCCCCCTCGCTCCTCTCCCTTCCCTCCCCCCCCCTCCCCCCTCGCTGTACAAGTGGCACCTGCCCAGCAACAGCAGCACCTACTCGGTAACATTCGCTGAGAAGGCAGTGCTGGCTAGACCTTCTTCTCCTTTCCCCCCTCCCTCCCCCTTTCTCCCCCCCCCTCCCTCCCCACCTCCCCCCTCGCAGTACAAGTGGCACCTGCCCAGCAACAGCAGCACCTACTCGGTGACGTTCGCTGAGAAGGCTGTGCTGGCAGGCAAGGTTGACGTCATCAAGGAGCTCCAGAAGATTCCAGGAAAAGAGGTAAGGATGGGAAGGGTTGATTCTTTGTACCTGTGTGTGCATCGTTGTTTTGCTACGTTCGTAGTATGCAGAGATATAATTGTTTCGAGTGAGTATGCAGTGCTTTGTATGTCGAGCATGTAACTGTTGCGTATTTAACTGTTGCATATGCAAGTGTTGCGTACGTAACTGTCGCGTCTGTAACTGTTGCGTGTGCCTGTAACTGTCGAGCGTCTACCTCGTCCTTTCTGCTCCTCCATTCATGTACCCCTGCGCACCTGCCGCATGCTGATGCTGCTCTATGTGTTAAATCTTCGCGTGACGGCCTGTTTTGCAAGCCCTGTGCCTTCACCCAATTGCCATCCTCCCCACTGCACACACCACCCCTTTTTCCTGCCCCCATCCCCATTCCTCCTTTTCCCTTCCCTTTCCACACTCTCTTGCTCGATGGCTGTAGGTGCGTCGCATGCGGTTGAAAGTTATACGAACAGTCATGCCCTCCGTGGTGTACAACCATCCTCGCATGTATCCGATGGCGGAGAGGAGAGACGCCTTTGATATTGCTATGGAAGAGGTGGTGAGAAGAGTGCAGCGCAACAAACAAGCAGCGGCAACGGCTTAAATCTAGATACCTTAGGGATTTTTGGTCAGGATCGTGGTCGTTTTTAGCCGTTGACACCTACCACATTCACAATTGATTTATAACTGTGCAAGGCGACTAATGGTTTATTTGTAGGCCTGTACTTGCCACTGTGCCATGCCCTTGTTTTGATAGCGCATGTCATGCGGTTGGACATCCATGGCCCATAGGGTATCAATAGCAAAAGGGTTGTTTTGTCAACACCTTCAGTAAAGGGGTATCAGAGATCATTTTCCAACCCTACTTCAACCATGTTCACCTCACTCAACCGTGCTAAACTGAACATTTACACCACGCCCTGAGTCGGTGCGGAGCCAAGTTCATCCTCATCCAAGCTCATTTTCCCGTTGACACCCATTGGACCAGCCCCTGGAAGCCAGGGAGGAAATAGACAACGTGTCATATGTCGCTCGCGGCCCATGGGTCGCCAGCTTTCCACCCATGGCCGCCAGGTGATTCACCCACCTCATTTCTCTGCCCACACGCGGCCAAGTGCCGCAATCTTCAAGATTCCCCAGCAGCTGTTATGTCTGTACAGAACGTACCACTGCGTACGTACGTACGGCGACGTGGCGTTGAAGGTTTTCTCATCATGAAACGACGGCGGGGATAAGCCCCGTGAGGCTCCTCGGGCAGGGAGAGACCTCCCCGAGCCGAACTGGTCAGCATCAACCTCCATGTTACCACGCTAGGAGATTCCAATTTCCAAACCTGGCAGTAACTTTCAAGCACAAGCCACAGTGTATCTTATTCGCCAAAAATCGCATACCCCGAAACTTTCAAGTTACCATACACCCGAACGCCGCGATTCCCGAGCCAGCGGGTCATCTGGCTGGACATCTCGAGGTTCAGGCGAGGGTCCCCGTGTCATAATTTCATCTGGTTCGGACAGATGTCTCTTCAAAAAGCGCGGTCCGTTTTGGTCTGCATGTTAGTTCGGCACTTCGGCGGGCAGAAAAGGTAGCACCGTCTCGAACCGTTCTGCATACAACTGAATATCGTTTTGGCAAATAGTAAAGTACAGTATAACATACCGCGTCATCAGGCTGGCCCTTGGGGTTGGCCTACAGCCAGCTATCACAGAGTCCAGTCCACCTAACAATCCCAGCTCCACGCCCCTCCTAAAATACCAGGCAGCAGGTCTGACTGACAAGGGCAGCCATTTCCGAAGTCAGTGTTCGTTTGTTACAGTGTAGTCAACCCTGCAGCAAGGTCGATGAAAACTACAAAGTCTGAGAGTAGCCCGACTTGAGAAGTCAGCTTGGTTAGCTGGTGTCGAGGTTGCTGGTGCTGGTGTCTCTCCAGCCTTCATTCGCCTTGGTGTCCTCCTCGTCATCAACCCTAATTCTGAGCTGACTGCCGGGCGTAGTTGTTGCAGGCGCTTGTTGTCGAAATCAGTTTCCCGCGCTTTTTATTCCCAGTTTCTCCCGCCGTCGAGAAAAGTGATCGTTTCCGGCCAGTGAGCTGGTCGCTTTCCTAAAGTTAAATTACTGCCAGTTCAATTCCTAAACTCGCGAGCAAGGTTAGGTTTTTCTCCGTTTCGCGTCGTCCCCTGCAATGCCGCGCGTTGCATCGTATAACGTTCCCAACGATACACTCCATCGCCACTAAAGCGATTGTCACTGCTAATTCCTGAAGTCCCCCGAGCGCCTGGTCCAATTTACTTCATTGTTGACCCCCCCATAAGTCACATTGGTTATGGTCACCATCGCTTAAGATGCAGTACCACTCCGAGCAATCATCCGGCCTCCCCCCGCATAAGAGCGGCAGCCGTCGCCGCGCATCCGTCTCGTCCGTCAGTCCGCTCGAGCTGCGCCTGCAGGAGTTTAACCTAGTCGGGGGAACCGGACTCGGGGGAAGCATAATCGAGCGCGGAAGCAGCAAGCATGCAGGTTCTAGCGGCGTAGGGTTACCGGTTCGCAACGCTTCTCCGCAAAGCGTCGCCAACCATGCGGAGTCGCCCGGCCACATCTCAGACGGCCGCGGCTCCAGCGGCTATTCGTCCCAAGAAGGGCGGCGCCGGCGGAAGTCCGCCGATAATGTCGCCGCCGAGGCGCGGCCCGCGTTAGCCGGACTTAGTCTTACCGGTTCAGGCGGTGCGCACAAGGCTCCTCCTTCCAATTCGGAAAACAGCAGCGTCAGCAGAAGCAGAAGCAGAAGCGGGAGCGGAAGCGGAAGCGGATTAGGAGGAGCGATCAGACAGCCGACGCTGGAATCGCAACGGAATGGGGTAAACAACAGCAGCAGTAATAGCAGCCTTAATAGCGCCGTCGACCCGCGCTTGCCGCTGGTCAACACGCCTGACTCCATACCGTCGGATGCGGACGGGGCTCGGTTCCCGCCCAAGCCTGCAGCGAGCACGCACTTTCCGCCGTACAGCGCGGCGGAAATTGCGGCGGCGATTGCGGCGATCAACAGCGGCGCTGCGTACTGCAAGCCGCGGTACCAGTTCTGCCCGAACTGCGGGTTTCAGCTGGTGGAAAACCCGATAATAGAGCCCATCTTAAAGCCCGTTGTACCCGCTATGGCGGAGGAGGAGACGGACTCGGAGCAAGACGCCGACGACGCGAGTGAGGTGTCCGTGCCACTTGTCAAAGCGCCATTGGCGAACGCCAAGGCGAAGCCCAAGAAGGGGAAGGGCAGAGCGGCGGCGTCCGCGGGGCACAATCACGCGGAGAGGCCGCGCAGGCGGTCTTCCGCCGAGCACAGCGGCAGCAGCGGCGGGGGGGAATCCGACATCGGCGGAGCTTTTGCCGCGGGGAGGGCGGGCTCTGTCGGAGGGGACGCGGAAGAGCCGGGCGCGCGGAGGCCGCCCGCTGCGTTCCCCCCGTCCGCATCTACCTCGTCCTCTGCAGGGGGGAAGGAGGGGAGCCGCATGGAGCGGCTCCGCGCGCCCGAGGTGGGGCAGCGGCAGGTGCTCCGCCACATGGAAAAGGGCGGCGGCCCTGCCGCGGGAGGCGGAAAGGGCCGCCATAGGCGCATCGGGAGCGTGGACCACAATATTTATTCCGCCGCCATGCCTCTAACGAAGGGCAGGCTAGGGGGCGCAGGGGGAGGGGCAGCAGGAAGAGATCATGGGTACGGGGAGGGGGCGGGGGCGGAAGCGGACGGGGGCGGGATTGGCGCGGGGGGAAGGGGGATAGCTTCCCCCGTTCAGGAGGATGACGGCGAGGGGACAGAGCGGAGCTCGCCGACGGGATCCGCCATGTCTGACGTGTCCGCGGCTACAGGCCGCGACGCGCCAGGTGGCGGCGCGATCAGCGGCTCGAGCGCCGTCAGCGCCGCGATATCCGCCCACAGAAAGCGGCTGGGGATTGGGGGGGGAAACGAGTGGGGGAGTGAGCGCGGGAGCGAGAGAGGGAGCGAGAGGGGGAGCGCGGCGGGATCGCCTAGAGGGTCTGCAGGCGCGGGGTCCCCCCGAAAAACCGCTATAGGGCTGAAGAAGCTGCAGTTAAGAGTCGATATCGCGGCTGACGATAGCGGGGACGAGGGGAGGGAGGTGAAGCTGGTGGCGGTAGGCCCGCCCCCCGGGAGTGCAGGGGCAAGGGGAATGGGGGGAGGCGGGGGAGGGGGGTGGGGAGAGGAGCGCGAGGGGTGGCGGGGATAGGGTCGGTGAAAGAGCGGTCGGGACTTCGGAGGGAGGGGAGTAGCGTGAGCCGAGGAGTGAGTGAGGGAGTGAGTGAGGGATTGGCGGGCAGATTAGGTCGAGAAGAGGGGGGTGGAGCAGGAGCAGCAGCAGCAGGAGCAGCAGCAGGGGGAACGGCTGCTCTAGCACCGCTGATGGTGGCGGCACCAGTGGGTGCAGCAGCGCCAGTAGGCGTATCCGGCCCGGTGGCTGTAGCGGGGCCGGTGGCGGCGCTACAGAAGAAGGCGCAGCACCGGCGCATCTCGTCGTGGGTGGACGGGGGCAACCTGCGGCACACGGACTTCATCCTGCGCAAGCCGTACCGCGAGGTCACCGAGGTGTTCGACGTGCAGGAGGAGGAGCTTGGCGTCGGGCAGTTCGGGGTGATCCGGTCGTGTGTTAATAGAGTCACGGGGGCTCTGCTGGCATGCAAAACGATCAGCAAAGAGAGAATCGTGGTATGTGGGAGGGTTGGGTTGGGCTGGGTTGGGTTGGGATGGGAAGGAACGGGCTAGTGGTGTGTGGGATGAGAAATGGATGGTGCGTGCAACAGGGGGGCAACCAACCTGCGCCACACGGACTTCATCCTGCGCAACCCGTACCGCGAGGTCACCGAGGTGTTCGACGTGCAGGAGGAGGAGCTCGGGGTCGGGCAGTTCGGGGTCCGGCAGTTCGGGGTGATCCGGTCGTGTGTGAATAGGATTACTGGGGCGCTGCTGGCGTGCAAGACCATCAGCAAAGAGAGAATTGTGGTACGTGCATGGGAGTAGGGACTGCGGTGCGTGGGAGGGAGGGGGGTTGGCGGTGTGACCGAGGTGTTTGACGTACAAGGCGAGAGGAGGAGTTGGGCGTGGGGCGCAGCTGGCGTGAAAGGGGATGGTGGTGGGATGGTGGGATATGGGGGAGTGCGGGATGGGGGTGGTGGTGGTGCGTGCACAGCTTGGAATCACAGGGGGTGCAACGCTGCTGGCGTGCAGGACAATCAGCAGGAGGCGGATGAGGTGAGTGTGGTACGAGGGGTGGGACGGGTGTGTGTGTGTGGTGCATGCATGCATGGACTAGGGAGCAAGGAGCCATCCCCATCCATAGCAGCAAGAAGCGAACTTCGCATGCATGGGCTAGCAAGCGTGGGCTGGCCGCTGGGTGGGCCGCTGGGTGGGGCGCATTAGTTATTCTCCTCCCGGCGTCACTCAGGTGAGCAGCGAACCTGACGAGTTTTTAACTACTCCTGGCTCTCGTCCAGAGGGCTGCTGACTGGAGTTGCTAGGGAAGAAAAGAAGGGGGCGCAGAAAGAAGGGGGGCACAGAAAGAAGGGGGGCGCAGAAAGTAGGGGGGCGCAGAAAGAAGGGGGGCGCAGAAAGAAGGGGGGCGCAGAAAGTAGGGGGGCGCAGAAAGAAGAGAGCTGGAATGGCACTGGCCATCGGGGAAGGGACATGGGCGCTGGGCATGGGTGGTGATGGGTGAAGGGGGATGGGCGCTGGGCATGCTGGGAGGGGGATGGGCAGCTCTTGAGGCGATGGAGGGGGTTAACCCTAAGCGAGCGATGAAAGACAGAATAGGGTTGACATTGTTAATAGCAACGTTAAGGGGGTGTACAGGAGTGGGGTTGACCCTGGTGAATGCAAAGGATGGTGGGAGTGGGGGAGGGAGAGAGTGAGCGAATCTGGAAGTGTGGGACTGTGGGTGGGTGGCTTGGAATGAGGTGCCTCTTGAGTCGACTCAAGAATCTGGGAGCGTGGGATGTGCCCGCACCCATCATGCTCTTGACGCCACTCAACCTCCTCCCTTCCCTAGGAGTTTCCCGAGGATGCGGATAGTGTGTGCGGAAGGAGGTGCAGCTGATGCAGCAGCTGCCAGCTGCTCTTGATGTGGCGTGCTGCCCATTGCATGTTCACGGTGACACAGCATGGTGACATGTGCTCCCCCCATCGTGCTCTCAATGTGACTCATCTCCCCCCTGTCGCAGTGCCCCCCCGAGGATGTGGACGATGTGCGGAAGGAGATGCAGCTGATGCAGCAGCTGCTCTTGATGACGTGTGTTCACTGTGACACAGCATGGTGACACAGCATGGTGACATGACATGTACTCCCCCCATCGTGCTCTCAATGCCACTCACCTCCCCCCGGTTGCAGTGTCCCGAGGATGCGGACGATGTGCGGAAGGAGGTGCAGCTGATGCAGCAGCTGAGGGGCCATCCGAACATCATCGACCTCTATGAGACGTTTGAGGACAGCAAGGTGAGGAGGGATGACGAGAAAGGAGAAGGCTGTGTGGGAAGGATATCCGAGTGGTTGCCGCTCCCCCGTTCTCTGCTGATGCAGCAGCTAAGGGATCGTCCCAACATCATCTATCCCTATGAGACGTTTGAAGACAGCTATGTGAGAATGAAAAATAAAGTTATACCAACAGGAAGAACAGTGCATAACGAGTCTCCTGTTCTGCTGGTCAACCCAATATGAACATCATTGACCTCACAGACGAATGCGGCATGCAGCAACCCACGTAACGCAAATGCCCCTTCCTTAATGCGCCTCTGCTGTATTGCCACTCCAACCCCTCCCCAACCCCCCTCCCCCACTCCCCTCCCACCCCTGGTTCCCATGCTTTCCTCATCCAAACACTAAGCACGTGCATCTGCAAGGGCAGGAAGTTATTCGATAGGATCTAGCTGAGGGGACTTCACTCGGAAAGGAATGGAGCCCTGCTGTCCCAGATGCTGCTGGATGCATGCGCTGCTGTACTGCCACCACTCCACCACACCCCTCCATGACTCTCTTTCTTTCCTTCCCCCCCAACGCCAACAGCATGTGCACCGGGTGATGGAGATCAGCTAGGGGGCGAGCTCTTTGATCGCATCAAGCCCAATTCTCGGAAAGGAATGCTGCCCTGGTGTGCCAGGCGCTGGTGGATGCGTGCGCTGCTGTACTGCCTGCCACTCGAACGGCATCGCACAGAGAGATGTGAAACACCCCGATCATCGCTCTGTATCCCCCCTCTCCCCCGTTCCCTCCCCCCCTAACACCTGTGAAACCCCCAGCATGTGCACTTGGTGATGGAGATCTGTAAAGGTGGCGAGCTCTTTGACCGCATCAAACTCCGGGGGCAATACAGCGAGCGCAACGCAGCTTTGGTGTGCCAGACGCTGGTGGAGGCGCTGCTGTACTGCCACTCCAACGGCATCACCCACCGGGATGTGAAGCCGGAGAACATCCTGCTCATGCACAAGGACGATGATACCAACATCAAAGTCATCGACTTTGGGGTCGCCACACGGTTCAGGCATGGTGGGTGGCACACGGGTCAGACATGGTGAGAGGCACACGGGTCAGACATGGCGAGTGGCACACGGGTCAGACATGGCGAGTGGCACACGGGTCAGACATGGCGAGTGGCACACGGGTCAGACATGGCGAGTGGCACACGGGTCAGACATGGCGAGTGGCACACGGGTCAGACATGGCGAGTGGCACACGGGTCAGACATGGCGAGTGGCACATGGGTCAGACATGGTGAGAGGCACACGGGTCAGACATGGCGAGTGGCACACGGGTCAGACATGGCGAGTGGCACACGGGTCAGACATGGTGAGAGGCACACGGGTCAGACATGGCGAGTGGCACACGGGTCAGACATGGCGAGTGGCACACGGGTCAGACATGGCGAGTGGCACACGGGTCAGACATGGCGAGTGGCACACGGGTCAGACATGGCGAGTGGCACACGGGTCAGACATGGCGAGTGGCACACGGGTCAGACATGGCGAGTGGCACACGGGTCAGACATGGCGAGTGGCACACGGGTCAGACATGGCGAGTGGCACACGGGTCAGACATGGCGAGTGGCACACGGGTCAGACATGGCGAGTGGCACACGGGTCAGACATGGCGAGTGGCACACGGGTCAGACATGGCGAGTGGCACACGGGTCAGACATGGCGAGTGGCACACGGGTCAGACATGGCGAGTGGCACACGGGTCAGACATGGCGAGTGGCACACGGGTCAGACATGGCGAGTGGCACACGGGTCAGACATGGCGAGTGGCACACGGGTCAGACATGGCGAGTGGCACACGGGTCAGACATGGCGAGTGGCACACGGGTCAGACATGGTGAGAGGCACACGGGTCAGACATGGCGAGTGGCACACGGGTCAGACATGGCGAGTGGCACACGGGTCAGACATGGCGAGTGGCACACGGGTCAGACATGGCGAGAGGCACACGGGTCAGACATGGCGAGTGGCACACGGGTCAGACATGGCGAGTGGCACACGGGTCAGACATGGCGAGTGGCACACGGGTCAGACATGGCGAGTGGCACACGGGTCAGACATGGCGAGTGGCACACGGGTCAGACATGGCGAGTGGCACACGGGTCAGACATGGCGAGTGGCACACGGGTCAGACATGGTGAGAGGCACACGGTGCAGACATGGTGAGAGGCACATGGGTGTGCGGCAGGGCTTATTTTTCACGGGTAACTATTCGGATTTTGACAACATAACGGGTGGTTTTCTGGCCGAACCCGGATTCTGACGGGTGACTTGTGACAGAACAGGGGGTCGAACCTGGATTCTGACGGGTGGCTCTGGCAAGTTCCCGGGATCTGCCGTGTGCCCCAAAAGCCTAGCGCAAGCCCTGGTGTGCTGCTTGAGCAGTGTGCTGCTTGAACACTGTGCTGCTTGAACACTGTGCTGCTTGAACACTGTGCTGCTGCTGCTGCTGCTGATGCACAAGGACGATGACACCAACATCAAAGTGATCGACTTCGGTGTGGCCACGAGGTTTAGACACGGGCTTGAACAGTGTGCTGCTGCTGCTGCTGCTGCTGCTGATGCACAAGGACGATGACACCAACATCAAGGTGATCGACTTCGGTGTTGCTACGCGGTTCAGACATGGTGGGTGTTGCACGGGTGTGGGATACGAGCAGCATCCTGCATAAAGGTGCGAAGCCTAAGAACGTCTTGCTCATGCACAAGCACGATGGCACCAGCATCAAGGTGATTGACTTGGGTGTGTGTGGCCACGAAGCTCAGACATGGTGAGCGCTGCATGGGTATGTGATTCGAGCAGCAACCGATGGGGCATCGCAAAGCGGGATGGGAAGCCGGAGAACATTCTGCTGATGCACGAGGGCGATCATGCGGGCATGCGATCATGCGATCATGCGGGCATGCGGGCATGCGAGCAACAGAGTTATTGGCTTTTGTGGGGCACCGCGAGGCGTGCTGGTGAAGCTGGAGATGATATGGCTGATGCACTTGGAGAGGAACGGCTACGATGCCAACGTCCAAGTGATTGACTTTGGTGTGGCAGTGGCTTTTGCCTCTTGGGTCGACCCAAAAGTCACATTTTGAGTCTGCTTTTGAGTTGACTCAAAATTCACATCTTGAGTCTCAAAAGCTGGAGAGGATATAGCTGATGCACAAGAATGGCGCCATCCAAGTGATTGACTTTGATGTGGGTGTGGCAGTGCCTCTTGACTCTACTCAAAAGGTACATTATGCTGCTGTGTGGCCTCCCACTCTTCTGGGCAATGAGCTTCTGTTTTCGTCACTACTGGGCGCACACAGCTCGTCAGCACACATGCCCTACCCCCCCCGGCTGACCCTTCCATTTTTTGGCGAGCCCCTGACTGAGTTTGTAGGCATGCCCTACTACATGCCCCTGTGGCCCGAACCTCTCATACGGCCCTGTTTTCCCCTCGCCTGCTCTTCTCCATGTTTATCTCTTTGCAACAGGCGAGCCCTGACTGAGTTCGTGGGCACGCCCTACTACATGGCACCAGAGGTCCTCACCGGCCAATACGGCCCCAAAGCTGACATCTGGTTGGCGGGGATCGTCCTGTACATCATGCTGTGCGGCTCTCTCCCTCCCCCTCCCCACTTTTCAGGCGAGCCCTGACTGAGTTCGAGGGCACGCCCTATTACATGGCCCCAGAGGTGCTCACCGGATCATACGGGCCCGACGCCAGCATCTGGCTGGCGGGGATCGTCCTGTACATCATGCTGTGCGGCTTTGCACCTTTACGGGAAACGAAGGCACTGTGAGTGCCATGCCACGAAGCACACAGAGCTCACCTGCACATCTCCTTCCCCCTTTCCCCTTCCCCTCCCTCTCCCCCTCCCTCTCCCCCCACTCCCCCCCACCACCCCATCTACTTGCAGGCGAGCCCCTGACTGAGTTTGTGGGCACGCCATACTACATGGCCCCAGAGGTGCTCACCGGCTCGTACGGCCCCGAGGCGGACATCTGGTCTGCGGGGATCGTCCTGTACATCATGCTGTGCGGCTTCCCGCCCTTCTGGGCGGCGAGCAACGAGGGCATCTTCGACGCCATCAGGCGCAAGGAGCTGCAGTTCAAATCCGCCAAGTGGAAGAACGTGGGCGAGGGGGCAAAGGATTTAATAAGGAGCATTCTCGTGAAGGACCCCAAGAAGAGGATGTCAGCGCTTGAGCTGCTCGGTGAGGGGCTGCCAGCACCTAAACCTACCTTCACTGCTGGCCTTAAATCCCTAGGAGAGTGGGAGCCTTTTTGTTGGGTGGGCGGTGCTGGTGGGTGAACCGTGCTGGTGATGCTTGTGCCTGGGTCTCCCCCCTTCCCAAGTCGCCTTCCACTGAACTGATTCCCCCCCCATTGCCCTGCTCCCCCCATTGCCCTGCTCCCCCCAGTGCCCTGCTCCCCCCATTGCCCTGCTCACCCCATTGCCCTGCTCACCCCATTGCCCTGCTCACCCCATTGCCCTGCTCCCCCCATTGCCCTGCTCCCCCCATTGCCCTGCTCCCTCCACTGCCCTGGTCGTGTGATGCGAAGGCTGCAGTGGTTGAAAGAAGTTGAGTTGTTGAATTGAGAGAGGGAGGATACAAGGCTTTGTACCTAGGGAGCCAATCCTAGGTCAAAGAGGGGTTGACCAACCCAACCATTATTGGGTGAACCAATAATGGTTGGGAAGGTTGACCACCAATTATAGGAGGGTCAATAATGTTGGGTTGGCCAACATTGTTGGAACTCTCGAGAATTGGGGTCAAGGGTTGGTTGACCTAACCAACCCCAACCTTCATCTACCCTACAACACTAACATACTACATGCTATAGATATAGGATATATTGTAACAGTGACTGCAGTCCGTCCGCATCACCCATCTCCCCTTTTTCATCCACCATTCCAAAGCACCCACCATTCGACCCAATTTGCCCCCATTCGCCCCCATTCGCCCCAATTCGCCCCATTCGCCCCCATCTGCCCACACCTGCCCTCCATCTGCCCCCCATCCGCCCCCCATCCATCATGTGTGGCATGGCAGGTCACCCTTGGATCGTGCAGTACTCCACATAGCAACGGCGCCAAGCTACCCCATGACAATAACACAGGCGCCACCATCAGTGCATAACATTCCCCCACATCGCGTTTTTGTGCTTGCATCAGCAAAGAATCGTCACACTACCGGTTTTTTTATCTATCCCTTGACGGCCGTTTGGTCGCATGGAGGGGGAGACACCAGTATGATTTGGCGCAAAAACATTGGCCAGTATGATGTGTGCGTTGACCAATGTCCGCACCATGGCTCACTGCTGGCATGCGCTACCAACCAATCTATGCAGCTCTTGCACAGATGGAATGGAAGCTATTCTTTTGTTCCGCAATGGCCACAAAACCTTGGGGATCTAATCCAATGACGCCCTTAGCTTTTTGCTAGAAATTGGGGAGCTTTATATAGAGGAAACGGTTCTTTTTTATGGCTAACTTGAATAACTTACTGTTTGCTTGCTCGATTCCAGTTGTTACCGTCGTTCATCGCGTATCGCTACTGGCGCAGCCGTTGTGAAGTCCACCTGTTCGTTCCGCTCTCGCGTCGTACACGTACAACCGACTTGCTTCGTTAGTTGCTCGTTGCTACTTGCTCCTGCCGTCGAGCCGCGTGAAGACCTAATCTAACTGCTGGCGGATCCTCTTTACGCGAGACGCGCACTGTGAGCGGATCGTATTCACGGACTCAGCACGGCATTAATAGACGCGTTCTAATCGCGGTTCCTCGTCAATCGCCTCTCACCTTCTTATGCTACTAGCTGTGGGCATTCGGGGGCCTTCAGTACAAAAACCCATGAACCGTACCTAGTAGTAGCATTCTAAATACGCATGTAGGACCGCCATCATCATATGTTGACCATTAGCACGTAGGACACTGTGCACGCGGTTTCATACCGTTCTGATTCTGCGGCTCCATCACTCCATCATTCCATCGTACGGTCTAGATTACGACTCGCACGACCGGCGCATCGCGGGGATTGTTTCAACCTCCGAGTGAGGGGCAGAACGAGAAAGACCCGGCTCCGACCCCCCGAAGGCTCCCCGCTCTGATTCCTGCGGCTCCATACTTGCGCACATTCGAACATACCGCTGACGACCAGCACAACGCGAGTTTTGTTTCAACCTCCAAGTCCAAGTCCGTCCATGGCTGACGCTCGGCCAAGTTCTGACGTCAGGCGGCGCCGATCAGCGCATCGCGGGTGCGACTAGATTCGTTCATAGAGTTGGTAGTAACCTAGGATTCGTATAGACGTCTCGACACGGATCAGCGCATCGCGCGTGAATGAGCGCATTAAATGATGACGATCGCATCGATAACCTAGGATTCGTTACAGAGATGTCCCAAACCGGATCAGCGCATGTCAGATTCACTCATCGTTCTCTCAGCCCCATCTCCCCTGCGCTGGAAATGGCGTTCCTCTCATCATCCCTGGCAATGCGCTGGCGAAGCACGTCACCAGAATGCGAGCCCAGAACAGTATCCCCAAACGGACTGTCACGACAAGAGGAGCAGCCGCGTGATGCTGCTCACACCACGCTCCGCTTCGCCCCTGCTCCATCATCGCCGCCTCACCACTTCTCTCTTTCCGCTCTCCCCCTCTCCCGCTCTCCCCTTCACTGACACTCCCGCTCTCCCGCTCCTACCTCCGTCTTCTCCCCTCGACCCTTTCTATCCCCCAGTCGTCCCTATCCAGACGAGAAGGACCGGGACCACACCAAGCCACGGGACCACCATGATGCTGCCACGTCAGCAGCGGGATCCGCGGCCACGTCAGCATCATTGGCCAGCTCAGCTGGCGGCAGTGGAGGAGGTCTAGCCGCCGGTGGTGTTGCTGGTCCCCCTGGATTCTCTTTCCCTGCCACCGCTGCCACATCAGCTGCATGTGAGGCTAAGCCAGCGATTGGATTCAGTTGTTTTTAGGGGAGGAGGTGGGGGGAGGAGGGAGGGTGTGGGGAGGGGGGGAGGGAGGAGGGGCGTGTGTGTGGGGGGTAGGGGATTGAGCGTTTTTTAGTGTTGAGGTTGCAAATGCTCTGCATGTATATACTCTGAGGTGACTTTTGAGTCGACTCAAAAGTCACTTTTTTACTCTGAGTCACCTCATTCGTGCAGTCTTATCACCTCAACCCACACAGCCGAATCCAAAACTGTTGTGAACTGCCATTCCTCTCACTCGTTGACCTCCGTTCTTCCTACCCCCAACCCCCAACCATCACCATCACACCATCAGCAGCAGCGATAGCCACTGGCATGCGCCCATCTTCGCCCAACATCCGCCCGCCTTCTCCTCTCGCTGCAGCGCCTGAGGCATCCGCACCTGGAGCTGGCGCTGCTGCTGCTGGCAGCAGCATTGGGGGAGGGGCAGCAGCAGGAAGGGGTGCAGCAGGGGCGGCGGGCACAGGAGGGGGTGGTGCGGGAGGGGGTGGGTCCCAGCAGTCGCAGCAGTCCCAGCAGGCGCAGCAGCGGCACGGGGAGGAGGTGCAGCGCATGCTGGGGGCGAAGCGGGCGGCGGTTCAGAGAGCGAGGCAGATGGGCGCTACGGGGCACTTCAAGCCCTGCGACTCCATGTTTGGGAACTCCCTCGTGCCCGTCATTCCCTTCCAGCAGCTGCAGCACCACTAGCTTGAGACCCAGTAGCCACAGCAGCACTAGCTTGAGACCCAGTAGCCACAGCAGCACTAGCTTGAGACCCAGTAGCCACAGCAGCACTAGCTTGAGACCCAGTAGCCACAGCAGCACTAGCTTGAGACCCAGCAGCCACGGCAGCACTAGCTTGAGACCCAGCAGCCACGGCAGCACTAGCTTGAGACCCAGCAGCCACGGCTGCACTAGCTTGAGATCTCACAGTAGCAAAGTGACTAGAACAAGGCAGTACAGGGGATGCATAGGTTTAGTGTTGTACCCTCTAAGAACACAAACCTATCTAGCCTATAACTTCTGTGTATAAAACATATGTATAAGTTGACATACCCTAAGCTAGATAAGGGGCAGTGCTGAGCAAGAAACACGCAGCTCAGGGGGGCACTACTAGTGGGAGGGCATATGGCAGGGGAAGGGCATATGGCAGGGGAAGGGCATACGGCAGATGGTGCGGGTGCAGCCATGATGGCTGCATGGTGCAGCATATGACAGGCCTCTCGAGGCAGATGGTGCGGGTGCAGTCATGATGGCTGCATTCCTGGCTATAGCTACCAACGAGGCAGTTGGTTGGCATGAGCTTGAAGATTGGGAGCGTGAGATGAGCTTGAGATCAAGTGAGCTTCGCCTCTAGTGCAGCACTTACCTCCAGGCACGCGCGGCCAGCACTCGGTGACTTTAGGGCGGCCAGCACTTGGAGACTTTAGGGCCGGATTTAACTCCCCCCAGCGAGAGTGAGGTCCCCCTGCCAGATACAGCCGGCCATCCGATGCTCCAGCGAGGGTGAGGTCCCCTTGCCAGGTGTGTCGATGTCAAACAGCCTCGCTGGCTGCATGCAGAGTGAAGGGAAACAAGGAAGTGGTTAGGAGTTAGAGGGCATACTAAATAGTTTTGCCAGGTGGAAACAGAAAGAAAAGTGGCAGCAGCAAGGAAGGGTGAGGGGTTTAAGAGGACGTGGAACGGCAAGGAACAACAGGCTTGGGGGGATGCAGGTTTATACATGCAGGCCTCGTTCCCTCAACCTATGCACCTGACCACCCCCCCTCCTCTCTAACCTTCGCCCCTCTGTCTGTGTCATCAAGGCTCCTACCCTCCTCCGTTACCCATCCCCTTCACCTCTATCCTATCCCATCCCCTCTCACCTCCTTTCCTCCTTTTCACCTTCTCCCCTCCCTCTCACCCTCTCCAAATCTCTCACCTTCCCCCTCCCTCTCACCTTCTCCCCCCCTCTCACCTTCTCCCCCCTCTCACCTTCTCCCCCCCTCTCACCTTCTCCCCTCCCTCTCACCTTCTCCCCTCCCTCTCACCTTCTCCCCTCCCTCTCACCTTCCCTGGCAGCATCTGCCCGCTCGCCCGTGCCCATGAGCTGCTTGAGGAGGTCCCCCTCCCCCGCGTGCCTCTCCCCTCTCTACGAAGCATATCCCAATGCATGCACGAACACAAATCAGCCATGTGACCTCCCACTAGATGCTGCTGCTTCCATGCGCCCCCGCGCTATGCACCACACCTAGGCATGTGACCCTGTGGTGCAAGATGGAGAAAGGAGAGGCACGCGGCACAACTGATGTGCAATGCACCACAGTTCAGCGCGTGACTCCGCTGGTCGAGATACAGCACGCGGAGACGTGAGAGACAAGCACCAGCGCAAATAGGTTTCTGCGCTCACCGTGTTCGCATGCGCAATGCAATGCACCCGCTATCAAACCTTGCACACTTGCACACCCGCTATCCGACCTTGCACACCCATCGTCGCATCGCTCGCCCCATTTAAGCATTCCGTGCGCATAAGCGCATGACGAGCATCGCGTCGCCACGCTACGTTACGCTATACACGCGCCCTTTCTCACCCGTCAAACCCACGCACCCACTCTCGCGCTCACGGTCATGGCGAGGTACTCCGGCGTCCTGTTCTCGCCCTTGGCCGTGTGGAACTCCTTCAACTCAAAGCCCTGACGCGGGACACATGCGCGCATTCCTCAACTGCAAGCCCGCCACGCGACCGATCACAACGTTACGACATCATGAATGCCGCGAAGGTGGCTACTACTAAAATCTGACAGCGCAATCTAACTGCAGGAATGCCGTACGCTGTATGTAGACATTTAAGTTATTGGGGGGTTGTTGGTTGGGATCACCAACCACAATTTGGTTGGTCAAGATTGGATTTGGCCTTGGTCCTTTGGTTGGCACTTTCCAACCGAATGGTCCCAAGGCTCCACCAATCAGCAACCACCACACTTTGGGGTTGCTTCCCCTCCAACCTACCTCTCCCATTGGCCACTATTGTAGCCAATAGGAGTGCCTTCCGTTCCAATCTTTCCTTTCTCCTTGGTTGTACTAAAGAGCCTCTTGGCTCCCTTTCTAGTAAACACTTTTCTCTCTAATGTTATTCTCTCATGGTATTCAGAGCCAATGGCTCATGCCACCCGGTCGATCCTAACTAGCACGGCCTAGTCCTTCCTCCACTCCTCGCTCTTCAGCCCTAACCCGCCCTCAGGCTACCCAGCTATCCCTTCCGGCATCCCCTCCTCTCCCGCATCCGCCTCGCGCCCCTCGCACCGCGTGTCTCCTCGCGCGCTCCTCCCGGCGAGCCCCTCCCGTCGCGCTGCTCCCGTTGCGCGCTGCTCTCGTCGCACTGTTCCCGTCGCGCGCTCCTCCTGTCGTGCGCTGCTCCCGTCGCATGCTCCTCCTGTCGCGCGCTCCTCCTGTCGTGCTGCTCCCGCCGCGCTGTTCTCGTCACACACTCCTCCCGTTGTGCTGCACCTGTAGCGCGCTGCTCCTATTGTGCGCTGCCCCCGGCGTGCTCCTCCCGTCGCGCTCCTAA